CTGCTATTAGATAGTGAGCACCATCACAGTATTAAAATGTAATAAAACTACCCCTCATTTAAAATATAAAAGGCTCCCACTTAGTTTTTATTGTCTCGGTTTGTTATTTTTTCATCATCAGTGCTGCTTTCAATCGTGGCTCTCAATACTGATATCATCATTCAGACATTTGTGGTGGCTTTCAAATCATTTTATATTGTAAAAACTATCACTAAGATCATGAATATTACAAATCTCTCTGTTCATCAAATCAATTGTATATATATCAGAGTTTTTGAATATAATTTTAACTCTGATCTCCTCTATTTTACTATCTGTAATGAATTTCTTCAAAATGCCTCTCACAGTAACAAATCTACAAAACAGACTTTTTTTATTTAAAAGCAAATATTAATGAAGATGCATTGAAATTGATAGGAATGAAAGAAATTCTGTGCTGATATTGCTTTTGAACTCAATGAAAAGGGTTTTAGTATTGCATTCAACTGTAATAGGCGCAACGGAGATATCTATATTAGGAAATAGATACGTGGCGATAGATACGTGGCGATAGATACGTGGCGATGGCAATATTATCTATATAATGCTCGCTGATATCCGTGGATTTTAGGAGATCAGCGATTAGCTTTGAACAATAGAGATTGCTACCTTTCTAATATCCTTTGTGCGTACTTCACACTACTCTTGTAATTACTCTTGTAGCCCATCTCTTACAATTCTAATCGCTCTAAACCTTATTTGAGTGGTCCGTTGTTACGCACACCTACAACAAAACACGCAACGTTAGTTAAAACACGCAACTTAAAACACGCAAGATGGTTTCGACACGCGCAAGATCCCTTGAGAATCAGCCTGAATCCTCTACCACCTCCAACGACCACAATGCCCGATTGCAACAGTTAAACGATCAAATCCGTGAACGAGAGCAACAGTTAGCTATTCTGCACGCGCAACAACGCCTCAACGAGTTGGAAGCACAGATTCGCGAAGATACTTTTATCGAGTCCCGACCAACCCCGGATATCGCCGCAGAACCGCCGCAAAATCGACCCGTAGATGATATGGATGATGATAACGAAACACCGCCGAGATTGGAGATTAAGGATTACTATCGAGGAAAGAATATGTTAGAATTTAAGGACTATAAAGATCGCATGTTGACTCTCTTTGCACGCCACCGTCGATATTATCGAAAAGAAGAACGCAAGATAAACGACGCCAAACTCTACCTTGATGCCCACGTTAAGCAGAAGTGGTTGAATTTTGTATCAGCATACGAGAGACGCGGAGGAGCAACACCGTTAACATTCGACGATATGCTATCACACCTAGAGATGCAAATTAACGACCCGCAGAATCAGCGTCGATTGGCGAGCCAAAGGTTCCAAGATGCTAAGCAACAGGAGTGGCAATCGATACGCGACTTTTCTAAATATCTCGAAGATTGGGAGCATTACTTACCCCCATACAGCGAGGAACAGAGAATGGATAACCTGCGTAGTAAAGCATTGAAGGTGCTACGCACCGAACTCGACCGTCGAAATCAAGAACCCCAGAACTACGAAGAGTTGCTTCGAACTCTACAGACTCTCGAGGAAAATATGCCGGAGCGACGACGCGCCATTCGCAAAGGCAGACCTGCGATATTCGTAGGGAATCAGCGTCGTTCTGATAAATCTAGCAACCACCGGAATAAAAGGAAACGAGAGGAACAGACGAGTTTAACTGAACAAACCAAGAAAGATAAATATAATTGGATGAAGGAGTGCTCACACTGCCATAAGAAGGGGCATGTCGCAAACGATTGTTGGATGTTATACCCCGAAAAGCGCAACCAAGTCCGACAAGCAAAAAACTAGCAATCCCAATCGTAGGAGCAGCTGCTGCATTGGGAATACAGACGACTAGGCTGCGAGATAAACACTTATTGGCGATGAACACCTGGATGTTGACAGAAGTAGGATGGCCAATGGCGTGGACGTTAGTAGATTCTGGCGCGGATGCAAACTTCGTGTCCCATGCTTGGGCATCGAAATATTTCTCGAAGTCAGAAGGTAAACCGAAAGTAGTGGAAGCAGTTGATAATCATAGGGTTAAATCATATGGACAACGAAAAGCTGCAATGAAGATTATCGATGATGAACATGTCCTCCGGGAAGGATTCCACCATTTCGAAGAAGCCGACATCAGTGGATACGATGTAATTCTGGGTATGCCATGGTTGCAAGCTGCGAACCCCGACATTGACTGGGTGCGAAGATGCTGGACCTATAGGAAAGCGTCAAATATCAGCCACGTGCACCTAGATACCGCTAAGGAATTTGCAACTTTAATGGACGACAGCAACATTATATTCGCCGCCTTTCCATTGCGAGCTGCGCATGCAGCGACTGAGCCAAATATCCCGGATGATTATAAGGATTATCTTGATGTATTCCGAGAAGATATACCTGACGCGGAACACGCACCCCACGATCATGCCATAGATCTCAAACCTGGCAAGGAACCACCGTACCGACCGATATATAACCTGTCACCTCAAGAACTCTCCGTCCTCCGAGAATATATCGAAAAGGCATTAGAGAAGAATTGGATACGCCCGTCCAAGAGCCCAGCCGGTGCCCCAGTATTATTCGCACCGAAGAAAGACGGAACCCTGCGTCTTTGCGTAGATTATCGAGGGTTGAACGAAATAACAGTCAAGAATCGGTATCCGCTGCCCCTGATAAGTGAAATACTCGATAGATTAGCAGGTGCCAAAATATACACGCAATTGGATCTTAGGGACGCGTATCATAGAATCCGCATACGAGCGGGGGATGAGTGGAAAACGGCATTTCGAACACGATACGGACACTTTGAGTATCTGGTTTTACCCTTTGGGCTAACCAACGCCCCTGCGACTTTCCAATCTTATATCAACAAGGCCCTCAGTGATATTTTGGACGTATATTGCGTGGCTTATCTTGACGATATCGTAATCTATTCGAATACGCTTGACGAACACGTCGCCCATGTTAAGAATGTGCTGGAACGTTTAAGGCGATGGAGACTATATGTGAAACTTAGTAAGTGTACGTTCCATGCAACAGAAATTGGATTTCTGGGTTTTGTGATTACCACGCAGGGCATCACTGTCGAAAAACGCCGCGTCGATACGATCCTAGATTGGCCTGAACCGCGAACAATAAACGAGCTGCAAACATTCCTAGGATTCGCCAACTTCTACCGACGATTCATATATAAGTTCTCGATAATAACGGCACCCCTGACTGAGTTGCTAAAAGGATACGAAACAAAAAAGGGGAAGAACAACGCACCTGTCCAACTGGACGAGAACTGCAAGCACGCAATACTGCAGTTAAAAGAATGCTTTACAAAAGCACCGTTGTTAGTTCATTTTGATCCGCAGCGAAAACTCCGTATAGAAACGGACGGATCTGGCGTTGCAATCGCCGCAGTAATATCGCAATTAATGGATGATGGTCACTGGCACCCGATCGCGTTTTGGTCCAGAAAACTCACAGAAGCAGAAAGACATTATCAAACATATGATTTAGAAATGTTGCCGATTGTAGAAGCTTTCAGGCAATGGCGCCACTACCTACATGGTAGCAGGCACCCAATAGTTGTTTTATCTGACCATGCCAACCTCCGGCGCTTCATGACGACGAAGCAGCTAAATGGGCGTCAGATTCGTTGGATGCAAATGCTCTCAGCGTTCGATTTTGAAATTGAGCACCATCCTGGGGAAAATAATCCCGCAGATGCACCAAGTCGTCACTCAGATTATATAAAACACGCAGCTCCCTTGACGGGGCTCCCTACCCTGCAAGAGAAGCTGCGTAAGGGGATCTTTAAGTCACTAAAGACAAAAGAAAACACAAAGTTAGACCAATGTGTCAAGATGGTGCGAAAAAATCTGCAAGTTAAAGAAAATTGTTGGGCGAAGGGGCCCGTAGTCATCGATGACAACAAACCCTGCAGGATAAAGAACGCACCTGCAGATGAGAACGAAGTCGCCGGCGTTACGGGGTTAGACCTAGGGACCCTGGTGCCACGGATTCTAGCCGTTAAGGTATTTGAGTCCGAGACAGCCTATCGCGAAGAGGTAGCTGAATCTATTGTCGAACTCTTGCTGCAGGTTCAGAATAGGGACGCTGGCACGTCTGAACTTCGCAGAAGACTAGAGGTGGGTGACGCTAGCGTAGGTGATCGTTCGACCTGGGCAGTAGACAAAGATGGCCTGCTCAGGAAAGATGGTAAAGTCTACGTACCGCAAGACAAGGCCGTAAGGCATGAAATAATGAAAATGAACCACGATGATCCCCAAGGTGGCCATTTTGGACGTGACAAAACCATCGAAGCGATCAAACGCAAGTACTCGTGGCATGGTATGAGCGATGAGATTGCAGAATATGTGAGGACCTGCGATGTTTGCCAACGCGTCAAGATACCGCGGCATAAGCCGTACGGGTTGCTACAACCACATCCAGTGCCAGATAAGAAATGGCATACAATCAGTATGGACTTTATTGAAGGCCTACCAGATAATAAGAAGGGAAGTCAAACTTACAATGCTATTGTCGTATTTGTTGATTTGTTCACTAAATGGGCCATAATTGTACCCACATCTTCAAAGCTAGATGCGGAAGGACTCGCGGACATTATTGTATGGAAGCTTGCGAAGAACTTTGGCCTACCTGCGAACATTATTAGCGACCGAGATTCATTAATAAACAGCAAATTCTGGTCAACATTATGTTACTTACTCCATGTCCGACGAAAATTATCAACAGCCTTCCATCCGCAAACCGACGGCCAAACGGAACGATTGAACCAGGTGATTGAACATTATCTTCGCACATATTGCAGCTACCAGCAGGATAACTGGATAGAGTGGATTCCCCTGGCGCAATGGGCATATAATAACGCCTTCCACGCATCGATAAAAATGACACCATCTGAAGCGATGATCGGCCGACCAACTGAACTTCGTATAGACGTGGAACCCCCAAGCACGGGCGCGTCAAAGTCGGCGATAGAACAAGTGGAACGGATGAAGCAAGCAGAAAACAGGATCCGAGAATGCCTAGAAGCTGCCAAAGCAGCTGAGAAAAAGTATTATGATCAGCGCCACATACCAAAAAGCTTTAAGATAGGGGACTGGGTAATGCTGCGTGCAAAAAATATATCCACCTTGCGACCTTCACCCAAACTAGATCATCGATTTTTGGGTCCCTTCCAAGTAATTGATATACGCGGTACGCAGGCGTACAAACTGAAGCTTACGCCACAATATAAAGGAATTCATCCCGTGTTCCACGTTTCCCTTCTCGAACCGTATCACGCGCGCGACGGACAGATCCCACAGGCAGAACCGATAATTATAGACGCGCAGGAGGAATGGGAAGTTGAAGCTATATTGGATAAACGTCAGTACCGTGGTCAAACCCAATATCTTGTTAAATGGAAGGATTGCACAGACGCGGATAATTCTTGGGAACCTGAAGAAAATTTGGTGAACAGCCAGGAGCACTTGGAACAGTTTAATAAAACCTATCAGGAGCCAGTCAGTAAACGAAAACGAAGAAGGCGACGATGACTGCTGGATATACTTATTCCGCCCAGGGATTAAAAAACAGATCCGCCTCAGCTTGGCCAGTGTCATTTGAGGAATTGTCACCAAGGCAGACCTGCTTATTACCCCGGATTTCCTCAACTGGCGAAGCACGACGTTTCAACGATGACTTGGGAGCTGCGACCGGCGATGTAGCCACCGGGATCTCACCAATCACTGTTTCAGCCGGGGCCTCAGGGGAACCATTTCGTTGAGCCCCACGGATCTTCGCTGCGAAGAACTTAACTGCAGCTGTCACAGCGCCCTGTAAAACGTTAACGTTCGAAGCGTCTGCACCAGCGACAATTAAATCCTCAGCTGCATTGATAGCTGCCTGGGCCAACTCAACGGCGTCTGCTGGCACCAAACACGAGTTATTTTATATCCCGCAAAACATATATAGAACGATTACTTACCGGAACGCAAACGTGCTTCATCACCGAGCAGTGCTTGCATTTCTTGCGTCGACCCTCAGCAGGCTCACAGTGATGGCGGGGAGACGTTGTTAAATGTCGAATACAACGACAGCAATATGCTGCTGCGTTCCTTTCTAACACTTCAACGGGACCGTCCGCTTCCTCATCTTCGCCAGCGTTATCGCATAACTCAAGTAACGCACCAAGATCCTTGCCCAGTATTCGATATATGGCAGGCGTGACAGCGTGTCCGCCCGTCGTTCACAAAGCAAGGGTATACTGGAGGGTTTTGCAACCTTTCCAGACAACCCAAGCAAATGCTCTCGATGGCATTCAGCATATCACCCTCCACAGGTTCTGAACCGGCAACGGAAGCAGCTGGTTCTGACATTCTATTACGACATTAATCAGTATCAAGGACCTTTTAAGAAGAGAGAAGAGGCAAGAAGCAGCAAGAAAAGAACAGATGTTGGTGGATAAAACCAATATTGCAATATCGATCAAAGAAGTTGCAGCAACACAAAATCCGACCTAAAATAGAAAACGCAACCACGCAACCAAAACTTCGAATGTCGCAATAAAAATCGCATGGGAAGATACAGTGTACTTTGCTTGATCAATTGGTGTATTCTTTTAAATAAACAAAATCGTTGTTAGTGATGATGGTGATGATCTCGTTAGGATACGATTTGTGGTGTAAAGGTTAAAGGAAAGGGGTTCAGGGGTTGTGCCTAAATCATGATTGGACCGCGATAACACCGAAACTGGAACAACGTTTTTCCCGAGTCAGCAACGCTTCGGAATTAACCCGAACAATTAATTCGGTCCTATCCTGCGAACTTTATACAATTCAACCACGCAGCACATATTACGAACTTCGCACAATAAGAAGCCCTGGGGACCAGGCCTTTGAAGAAGGGAGATAATTGTAATAGGAGCAACGGAGATATCTATATTAGGAAATAGATACGTGGCGATAGATACGTGGCGATGGCAATATTATCTATATAATGCTCGCTGATATCCGTGGATTTTAGGAGATCAGCGATTAGCTTTGAACAATAGAGATTGCTACCTTCTTAATATCCTTTGTGCGTACTTCACACTACTCTTGTAATTACTCTTGTAGCCCATCTCTTACAAATTAATTCAAATGATATAATTATATATTCAAAATATTTATATCTCATTCTAAAGACTATATTTCAACAATCTTTTACTGCTATTAATATGCAATGATAGACATTTTGAAGATCTAATTTAGTTAATACTTTGACTTTTGAAAGCTTATCAAATAATTCATTTATTAGAGGTAGAGAGTATTGATTTTTGATGATGTTTTGATTTAACTCTCAATAGTCTACACAGAGATGAAGTTCATCATCTTTCTTGAAAATAAAGATAATTGATGCATCAGCTAAGCTATTGAATGATTGTATTTACTTTTTATTTAATGCATTCTTTAAATATTCTCTTAGAGCAGCTAACTCAGTTTCAGAGAGATTGTATATTAATATAAATGAAGATTGTACATCAGATTTGAGATCTATACAGTGTTTCATTTTTTCTGATTTTTATATGCTTATAGCAGCTTCTTCTGAGAATATATATGTGTATGATATAATATAATCATATAAATCAGTCAATAAAGCTGAATACATAGTTGAGAATATATGTGAAGTATGTTTTGAGTCTTTTAAACATTCTGTACATAATACTACAAGCATTTTTATTCTAACTCTGAAGAAAACTTCAGCTAAAACATTTTATTCAAAAATAATTTAAAATTATTATTTATTTTCAAAGCTTCTGAAGAAGAATCGTTTATCTGATCAATTTATAAAAAAATTTGTTTGTTTTAATGAAGGAAATTCTAACATAAAATTGTAATTTTTCATCTTCATTATATGAAAGAAATAAGATGTCTACTGTGTGTTATTCTTGTGATTAGTGACATTAATTGCAATGTTATACTTTTTAAAACAATGCATTATACATTCATCAATTGATTTGATCATCTTGATTTTGCAAAGAGCAGTTTCTAGATTGTGATTCTTTACTCAAAATTCATTGACACAGTTCACTTCTGACTCAGAATCTATTTGTGCAAGCACTTTTTACAGACTTTTAGATGTAGTGATTTCCACTGTGATCATGAAGTTTAAGATATTTTTACATTGACTTTCCATACATATAACTGTCATTGTAAGCTAAATGATGCATTTTAAACATTTTTTGAA